CAGGGCCCAGGCCTCTCACCTCCAGCTGGCACCCGCACCTCCGGCCTCAGCAAGATAGCCTTTGCTCACTGGAGGCCGTTGGGAGCTCGCCTGAGGGCTGCGTCATCAACCAGCCTGAATTTAGACAAAGTGCTTTGGGGAAACGAAACGTGTGGTGTGCCTTGGTTTTTTCCAGTAATTGTTCCATGGCTCGCTCTGCTCGTAAGATTTTCCAAAATAAGTCCATAGATGGGAATTATATCAGCACATTGGGAACTGATGGCCTGTGGACTCTGCCGGCGCCTTGCGAAAAACACCCCTCGATCAGACAGACACGCGTCATCATGGCCTGCTGGGGCCCGGGGTGCCCGTTCAGGACAGATGGGACCGAGGGAGACCTTTGCTCAGGCTGGAAGTTCTTCACCGGGCGGCCGGGGGGCTGACACAGGCAGAGGTGGGCAAGTGCGATACCCTAAACTTTGCCTTACACGTTTAACCCTTGAAGGGCTACCTCCTTTCCCAGCAAGAGAACCTGATTTACTCAAGGCTCTTCCTGGCTGGAGGAGTATGGCTTGGCCGTCTCCAATAACAGTGAGTGGGATCTCCTCTAGGGCAGGGTCTAGCAAGGTGCCTTGGATATGTCTCTGGCTTTGGGAGGAAGACTCTCATGAAAGCAGGCAGAGGTGTTTTGACTTGTATGTGTGTCTTTCCGGACAATTTTGACATCTCCCACCCCACCCCTTTCTCTGTGTCTTGCAGGAGACAGACAGTGACCAGCACCCCCTGCTGGATTGAGCTGCACCTCAATGGGCCGTTGCAGTGGCTTGACAAGGTCCTCACCCAGATGGGCTCCCCAAGCATCCGCTGTTCCAGTGTGTCTTAGAGACATTGGGTGTGAAGGGGGAGGGTGGGAAGGGACGGGCTTGGGGGAAGAAGGCCGTGTAGGACGTGGAGAAAATTGGAACTCAACTCACTATTGTCAATGAAGAAGTTTTTCTCCCTCGATCAAGGCGGCACCAGCCTGTTTTCCAAAACACAAAAGCAGACCCAGAGATGGATCTTAGAACAGCCGTGTCTGCTGAACACATTTGCCCTTTGGCCCCAGTTTGGTGGGCAAGAAATGGCTTCTGCTCTGGTGGCTTGAGCAAACAGGTAGTATTTCACCACCTGCCCCCTCCTCCCAGCCTCCTTCTGTTTCAATGACCGCAATCTAGGATGTCACTGTCCAACGGGAAATGGCCCTCGTTTCCGGACTGGAGTGTGAAACTCACCTTGGGTGTTCTAGGTAGAGTAGAGCCTGCAGGGCCGTGAGCAAACCTCATGCCTGGTCCTCTGGCACTTTTAACAAAGGCTTCAACTGAGCCTTCCTGAGCTCCAGCACTCCGGCAGACCCCGCACCCCGGGGAGCTGGACTGACTTGTGGCGGGGAGGGGGCTCGTCTGTCTCCTCCCCTCTCCGAGCGGACGGATACGTGTGAGCCGGTGTGTTCAGAGCATGCACACAGGCACAGTGGGGAAAGGTGGTGGGACACCTCCTCTCTCAAGTTTGTCCTTTCTCACTTTGAACGGGTGGGAGATCTGCCGGGGCTTCTGCAATGTATAGAACATCTTCTCGCGTTGATCTCAGAGATGTGAATTACACAAAGTGCTCACACAAAGCAGGAGGCAGCCGTCCCATCGCAGTGTTTTGAGCATGGGTCTCCAGTCATCTGTAAGAGCTCGCTTGCTATCCTTCTGCATCCGGCTATCTCGGTTTACGTAGTCAGTTGCGCTAATTAAATGAGCTTTATCGTATGCTCGTTTAAATGTTTATATTAAAAAAAAAAATCCTGGTTGGCACACTGACTGGGAAACCAGCGTGGGGCCCAGCAACCTCTCTCTCAAGGTGAAGCTGTTCCAGGTTCTGTTGAGAAGACACCTGCCAGCAGCACTTTTGGAAACTGAAATTAACAGAAGCAAATTCACCAGAAGTGGAAAATCTCAGGCCAACACAGGCAAATGAAAAGGGCTATTAAAATTTTTTCTTTTTTTGTTTTACACCTTTGAAAACTGCAGGCTTGGTGCACAGAGGTCTGCCATCCTCCCCCTGGGATGTAAGATTATCTAGCTCACAGTAGAGGATCATCAGTGACGACTATAGCAGCTATATTGTATAATAAGTACTGTTCCCAGTGGCAATTAGTGAGAAAATGGTTATAAATTATTGCAACTGGAAAAAAAAAAAAAAAAGCTCTCCTTTTTACTGGCCTTTTGCAGAATCCCGCAGACAGAATTGCCACTTGCAATTGGTACTTTATTCCTTGTTGCTGTTTTTGTAATGAAATGACTTATCCCGTATTTTTGCATGGATTTCTACCAGGAAAAGTGAAGGGATTTCCTATGGAAGTCCTGTCTTCTTCCAGGTGAAGGGGAGAAAGTGTACACTTCTCGCAGGTAAAAACCTCAAATGTGATGACATTTCTGATGCCTTACGGAGATGTTGGGGGCTTCCTGGTGCCTCCCCGGCAGGATCCTAATGCCTCTGCAGCTCTAGCCTTATGGTTTCCAGGTAGGAGAGCTGCTGTCCAAGCTCCCTGAGGACACAGGAGGACGTGGGAGGAGCACCTTGCCAGACCTACGCTTGGCTTTTCCCGGGGCTTGTTGACACAGAACCCAGAGACCACACAAAACCCCTGTCGACCTGAGAGGGTCAAATACTGCAGGTCGGAAGTTTGCCTGCTGTGCAATGATCTGTGGACTGCTTCTTCCAGGAAGCTCTGAACCTCCTGGATGTGCATTCACGCTCCGGGTCAGGTCTGAGACTCGTGGTGTGGAATATCCCATTTTGGCCTCTGCTGGTGCAATCATGCCCTTCCTAAGAGCCAGGGCGGCGGTTCCCGAGGGCCTGAGTTCTCTACCTGCTCCATGATCCTCTGAGGACTTCCTCTGGCACACAGCTGTCCTCCAGTTACTCGGGAAACTAGCTTCAGGTACAGCACAACCTCGGCGACCCAGTGGCTATGCATGGATGGGGTCTTACAACCCGTGATGTTCAGAGCTGAAGGCTACTTTTAGGAGGCATGAAGTTTTAGTTTTGTGTTTCTCCAAAAGCTCACTCGGCCCCTCTTCTTTATAGACTGCTCCTTGGAGGAGGATGTGAAAGGAAAATGTAGGTAAGTCCCCCTCTGGACGAAATTCAGTCCTACCCAGAGGTGAAGACCCTTCCCGTCACAGAGGCTGCCTAGGTGCTTTGGGCTTGTGTAATATTAGTGTCCTTCCTTTAAGTCACAAAGCTTGTTTTCTGAATTTGAAGAACCCGTTGTCTGAATGGCATTTACATGTTAAGATCTTTTTAAAGGACAGTTGAAGGGGGACAAGAGAAAACACGGCAGTCTAGTGGGGGTGGAGGGCAGGTTTAAGCGTAGGTGTCTGGGCTCCCCTCCAAGTTGTCTTCACCTTGTGGCTCGTGCTGCCGCTGACCCGAGCCACCAGCACCGGGGTGGAGATCCTCGGCTGCACCCCAGACCCCCCGGGCCAACGTCTGTTCTCTTCCCTTTCCTCCCCCACCCCCCTTCCTAACTTTATTTAGTAACTTTGGTCCTTCCAGCACAAGCAAACGTAGGTAGCTGCCCCAGCAGGTTCGGGTTACAGGCCTGTGCTGGAACATCATCTCAGTTGGCCAGTTTCCTGGCAGGCTGTAGACGATCTGACATTTTGAGACGAGCCTAGAGTCAGGAGCGGGGACTTTGACTCTTAGGAAGCACACACGAGGGCAAGGCTGCTGGCAGACTTTCCCGTCATCCTGATGTTGTCTTTTTTGGTTTTTTTTTGACCGTGGTGATAATTTTTTTTTTTAATCGTTAACGTATTGGAATGAGCTGTAGCACGTTACCTTGTGCTTAGTTTTTTTTCTCCATCTTCCTTTGGCTTCCCAGTGCTTGGACATATTCCAGGGCTGAGTGCTTTTACTCAGAGCGCAGGAAAAGGCTTTCTTTAGGTAGTATGTGCATGCATGTATGTAGTCTGGGCAGAAGGCAGATAGGGTTTCATCCTTAGCCCCAAGCTGCCCTTTCTGAAGCTCCGGGAAGGTCTCCGGAGGGCCAGGTCTCGCCTCAGGCCGCTCTCTGAAGTCCTTAAAAGGAGAGGGAGGAAAAGGAATCAGGGGACTGTTTCCAAGGGGGTTACTGGTACCAAGAGCAGGCATGAGTTGAGTTCTGGACTCTGTGGGATTTTAAGTGGCAGAGTGGGGAGTTTTCCCCCAAATCTGTGTCTGTCCTCGCTTTACTAGAAGAAAGCCTCAACACAGCTGCGGCGTACCATTTTTCTTTTTGTGTCATGAATGTTCCCTTCTAGATCATCCTTTTGAGCAATATCGGCTACTTCTCAAGAGGGTGGGAAAGCAAAAAAAAAAAAAAAAAAAAAGACACAAGAGGATATGGTTCCCACATGACAAGGAGGCATCCCTGGTGGAGGGGTGGCAGTCAGTGGGGAAAGGACTTTTCAGAAACACAGCTCTCACGTAAACTCGCCTATTGTGTGAACTGGATTGAGCAATGCTCTCAGTGATTCTGTAACTTTTTGTTATGCTGAAGTATAATGTACACTCTGGCATTCTGGTATTTTTATATTTATGTAATAACTTCTTAAAACCATTCAAGACGGAGAACTATTTAATTTTTTGAAGCAAGTTGGAAAGGTCTCTCCTCCCAAGGACTGACTGTGGCTGGGAAGAGTCGGGGGCCCAGCGGCTCAGCCTCCAGAACCGCCCGCCCCCCCCCCCCCCCCCCCCCGGGCAGGCCACCGGCGAGGCAGCGATCCCGATCCCTGGGTCCCCTCCAGGCCCTTTGGGGTGGTGAGAACTTGACGCAGAGGGTTAGAGCCAGAGCCCCCTCCCTGCTGCTGTGTCGAGGCGGTCCCGGACTCTGCTGGGGTGTATCGGGGGGGGGGGGGGGGGGACAGAGCGGGGAGGCTGTGATTACCTTCACTTCTCAGCCAGCCTGACCTTTTAATACCTTTGTAAAAAGCATGTATGTATTTATAGTGTTTTAGATTTTTCTAACTTTTGTATCTTAAGAGCAGAGCACCTGTTTAAGCATTGTACCCCTCTTGTTAAAGATCTGTGTCCTCTCTTTCCCCTGTAAGTACCCTTCTAATAAACTTTTCATCGAAAAGCTCCCATGCCTGGAGCTCTGTCTCATTCTTGCAGGGTGGGGAAAAGATTGGAAAGCGAGCCCTCCAACGTCAACAATGGCTCGAGCCCCTCTTCTTTCTGCCAAAGCCTCTCGTGCTCCCTGGTGGCCCTCCTCCACTCACCGAGGGTGACGTGCGTGGAGGGCCAGCAGGAGCCCCTGGGTTGGCCCAGCGGGGGCCTCTCCCTCGCTTCCCCCACCTGAGCAACACACAGTCCGATCGCTGCGTTGGTCCCTGGCCCTCATTTCCTCTGTACGCAGAAGGCCTAGATGCCACCAGATGAATCCTCCCCCAGGCGTGGAAGTAGTTTTAGGTTCGTAAAGGTTTTCACCCCTTCCAGCTCCGAGGACTCGGTCAGCGCCTGCGCAAATACATTTTAAATTAAAAACTCCCAAGGACGGAAAGATTTGGTTGACTCTTAACACGGGCCCGAATGACGTGGATTAAGAAACAGGATTAAAATGAACAGTTTGGGCGGGGAGGCATGGGGCTCGAGTAATCCTTTAGCCGGGCCGCTTCTACAGCATCTTCTAAGGAACTCCCCAGACACCTCCCCTACCAGGAGACAGGCCAGTTTCACAGGTGCGGCCCCCCCCGGGCCTACGGATTTGGCCCCCCCCCACGAACCGCATCAATTCCTACCTTCAAAATTCCTAGCTCTGCCCTCGTGCCCCTGTCTTCCCCGTGGTTTTAGCCTCTCTCTCTCAGCAGATGATTCCAATCCCACCTCTAGCCCAAACTGTTCCTTCAGACGCACAACTTTAAATTCCAGCTGCCTAGCAAGTGGGCTCCGCACAACGGCCCCAACCCAAATCCTCTTCCGGCGCCCTCCGCACACCCCCCAGTTTTTAGCAGCAGCCTCTCCCGGGTCCCTCTCCCCCATCCTCCCGAGTCCTGAACGGCTTGATGCAGCTCTCCCCTGTGCTCTCCACCCCCTGCTGACCAAGCCTCCCTTTTGTAAAGGCCCTACTGCCCGGACGTCCTGGCTCTCCTCGGCCCTCACACCGTGTCCTCTTTTTCTTGGGCCTGCGCCTACTTCTTCCGGGTTGGTGTTCCCAGACCACTGGATGCACTCTCGACATTCCTTCCTGAGTGACCTCATCTCCCCACATGATTGCAAGCCACATTAACGCTAATGACTCCCAAATCAGTATTTCTAGCCCAGACGTCAATCCCAGGCTTCGGACTTGCGTCCAACGGCCTGCTGGCTACCGGTGCTCGGGGGCGCCGCAAGTACCTCACACTCGCAACTGGAAACATGGAATTATCGCCGCCCTCATTACACGGCCTCCCTCCCCTCTGGCCTCCAGCCCCAGAAGTCACCAACACCCCGCACGCCCTAGCAGCCCTGTTTGGCCGTGCCCAGTACGTGAGGTCCTTAGCACCCGGACAACCGCACTAGCTTCCCAACGGCTCCTGGCCTCTTGCCTGCTTTCCCGGAAACTCATCTTCCACGCACGGCCCTGTGACCCACGTGACTTGAGCCCTCCAGTCCACTGCGTAAACTCCAAAGCCTTTATCACGGGCCACCGGACTCTTGTCACTCGACCCCTATCTAGCTGTCACAGCTCGCTGGTACAGCCGGCAGCCCAGGGACAAACAGGTGGTGTTCCTTACACAGCACACTCCTCTCCATGATGACAAGCCCTCTTCCCAAGTCTGCGCTCCCTGCCCCTGTGCCTAACACACCAGCAGGTCACCTGGAGAACTTTCACAAATGCTGAGACTCAGGTCAGACACCTCCTCCAGGAAGCCATTCGCAAATCTATCGCCAGGCTTCCCAACTGAGTGGTAACTGTGGTTGTCCTCCCCTCGAGGCTCTGAGTTCCTTGAGGGCAGCATTTACATCTTATTCTTGTATCCCTGGCTTCTTTGGGCCACCGATTTTTGCTGAATAAATCAGTGCCCACAGCTAGCAGATTCTACCTCAGCAATCCTTTCCATCTACTTCCACCATGCCCTAAGTCCTTACATATGGTTGAAGGGATGCCACCAAAATGCAGTTCCTAATTGCCTTTTCTCATAGCTCTTCTAACATCCTCCTGACCTGTGCCCCCCTCGTCCAGAGATGGAGGGTAGACGGCAGAATTACCACCCTTCTATTTCTCCATCCACAGCAAAAACCACTAAACACCATGCTGGGTCCACTCTCGGCCTCGGAATCCTTCGCAACACAGCCCTCCAGGCAGGTAGCGCGACTCGATTCGTTTTGGCTAAGACTGCTGCCATTTCCCAGGAATGCAGTTGTGGTTACCTGTCTCTTCCGTGCTAAACCCCTTGGGCTCCTTGATTGCCTCCCAAGTAGGCACTGGTCCCACCAAGTAGTATTTCAAGGTTTTCTCTAAATTCACTCCATCCTTGTGCGCCCCGTTCCTCCCACTGGACCGGGTGGGTTTTCCCGACGTAACCCCTTGCTTTCTCTCCCCGTACCTCTGGTTCATGCTGCAACTCCCGCTAAGAATCTGCCGCCTCCCCTCACGCTTTGGCTCCAGTTCCACCCTAGCCCCTAGCTCCGTCTGAGCACCACTTCCTCCAGTCCGTGGGTCTCCCAAGTGTGGGCCTGGCCGGCAGCATCAGTACCGCACGGGACAGTCAAAACGCATTCCCCCAGACCCCGCTGGGGACCTGCTGAACCGAAACTCTGGGCCGGCGCCCTGCGGGGGACTCGCTGTGGGCTCACGTCTGAGAAAGACTGCTCTGAGACGTACCATATGCTCTCCCCAGCCCACTCTGCGCTCGCCTTCCCACAGCAGGGGAGGCTGGTCCCAACACTTCACATGCTGCCCGGCACTCTAGCTTTCCTGGCCTCGATGCGCTTGCCCCCCGGCCCCCACCCCGCCCCCATCACCTGGGCTGGGTGATGAGCTCCCGGAGAGAACCCACACCCTTACCCAAGCCTGCGGCCTCTGCCACCCCTGCAGAGCCTGGTACCGAGAAGGTGCACCATCAGGGCCGGACCCTGAATCCTGTTTCAGCGCTTACCTGGGTAAAGGAACAGGGGCCAGCTGCTCTTCCTCAACTCTGACTCTGAAGCCTTCTAACTTCACCACTGGCGACATCCTGAGAGTTCCCCAGAGCGGCTGGATTGGCACAGACCGTGTCCTTGGGCTTCGGATGAAGAGAAGGTTCTCTCTCTCAAACTGAACTGTTTCTATAAAGTTCCTACCCCAGGCCTCCCTTAGTCCACATTTTTGTAGCACTAAAGCCACCTGGTTGATCAGAGAAAAGGGAGAGGCAAAGACGAAAAGCTTTATGTGACCTGTCACTGCTTCCCAGATTTGTGCTTGTGGGGAGAGAGGGTTTGAACCCATCAACAGATAGACACAAAATATCTTTTTCCTCCCAGACCTGTGTTCCAAAGATGCAGTAATGGTCACTGGGTCCAGGTTCTGAATCCATACTTTTCCAACAGGAAACAAGGTAGAACCACAAATCATTAAAAGCTGGAACAGGGCTCAGGAGTGTTCCGACAAAAGGCCCACGTTTGTTGCCGTTCCCTCTTGTCAATCCCTCGCTCTGCATGCACATCAGAGAAACACCTCAGAACAGAGCAAGACTGTTCCTATTCTAGAAGAACTTGGCTTTAGTGCTACAAACACACAAACTCAGAATAAAGACATCTACACTAAGAGCAAGACTCGTGATGTTTATGACGTAGGTGGTGCCAAAGATAAGAAACTGAGCATTTCCACGACCTTTTCGGCAACAGCTTCAATGCCAGAGACGCAAAGATGGACCGCTACCCTAAACCCTGAGTGGAATCTAAATCAAAACGTGAACTTTGCCCTGCACGCTCAGCCTGCTGCTTTTACGAGGCCTACCGATTCTGGGAGAGTTGACCGTCTGGGTGTTTTGTAACCGGTCCTGCAGGAAGGTGGTACGCTTGACCAGACTTTTCACTTTCTCTGCCTAGAGTCCTCCGGTAAGATGTGGTCTTTAATGACAGAATGCCATACCTAAATTGCCTGACTGCTTTAAAATCTGGGGTGGGGGTGAAGGACGACTTGCACTGGTTACAGAATTCTCTGCAACTCTGTCTCCGTCAATCAGGACGTTCAATGAAGCAGAACCTCTGACCACGCTAGACACATGTTTGCTAAATTTAGCTTTGCCTCAGCAGGCGCTCAGAATAGCTCCTCGAGCTCTCATGTTACCCTTAGCCAGTGATTCTTTTAAGGCTGCTTCTCCATGGCAGGCCGGCGCAGAGCAAGGGGCACTCCACGCGCTCTCTCGATGGCCATTGTCAAGAAACTGGCCTAAGGTAAGGGAATCCGGTCAGCCACAGCGAAGATGTTCACTCCCACCTCTCCGCCGCGGGAGCAGGAAGTTAGCCATATATCACCTTTCACGCGTTACAAGTAGTTTGCAGTTAACGGCCTGACATGCTCCATGGTCCTTGAACCACATCCCCTATTACTCAGCCGTCCAAGTCTAGCGTCCCTCAATCTCTAGCTTCTCTGAATTAGATGTGGCCAAGTTCTATAAATAGAGAGAAAGCAAACTGGTTCTGTCAATCTTCTCATACTCTGGCAGGATAACATATTTTAAAATCATAAAAATATCTATGTCTTCATCACTCTAAAATTATTACATAACACATGATTTTTGAGGGGAAAAAAAAAAAAGTTTACTTCTGTCTCTCCCTCCCTTCCAACCCTCATGGGCCTTCAAATGTTGTGATCATATTCAGCAAACTAGCAAACGTGAATCCAAACCAAAATTAAAGGCCTACTATGGGCCCAACTCTGTGTTACACAAATAGAGAAATGTTGGAGGTAAAAAAAAGCCGAGTCTCTCACTTTAATTCCCGGACAGACAGTCCATAGTAACTGGCGTTGGCACATTCACAGCTCATGTCAGGTTGACTGCAACTTTTACTGCACTATTAGCTTATGATCACTTTTTTTTTTTTTAAATGCTTACTTTTGAGGGAGAGAGAATGTAAGCAGCGGAGGGGCAGAGAGAGGAAGACACAGAATCCAAAGCAGGCTCCAGGAGAATCCAAAGCAGGCTCCAGGCTCTGAACTATCAGCACAGAGCCCAACGTGGGGCTCGAATCCACAAACTGCAAGATCATGACCTGAGCCAAAGTCGGACGTTTAACCAACTAAGCCACCCAGGTGCCCCAGTTCGTGATCACTCTTAACGTGAGCCTTTAGAAACCACTTTAGAAACCACTTTTATCCCCGTGTGCCCTGGAAGGGGCCAACAGCCCCAGAAAGCTGAGGTCTTGAAAAGGTGAGTTGATATTATACATACACGAGGTAGATTCCACGTATTATGAGTCTGGCAGACTCTCCAATTATTCACTATTTATGCCCAATCTGAAGTAAGGCTTCCCCCAACATGTGGCCTACTAAAAAACAACAAAATCATAATACACATTGGCAGACTTTATAAATAAATGATATTTTAATCACCTGGCTTTGTTTAATCCACAAAATCACATTCACGGCTTTTTCTAGTCTGTCTTCCCTAACCACGTGACCTGATGTATTTTCTGGAACCCTTCATGTTTTAAGAAAACCATTCTACCTTTCATTTTGCAACCCCAGAGCCAACTTCCCTTACATTCTTAGTAGCTAATGCAGTCACATCAAAGAAACACTGATGGAATGGTGATCAATTAGAGTCTCAGAGACCTTCAGAATAGTTTAAAAAAAAAAAAAAAAAAAAAGTCACCAAGCAAGAAAACTGCCGGGTGTTGCCCGTGATGGCTCTTCCTTGACCACTCCTGTCACTGAAACCTTCCCCTCTGTGGCTGCCCTGGCCCAGAACCTGGAGCATTTCACTCCTTCCGCCATTCCTCCTGCAGCGCTTACAAGGCGGTGCACAGAGGGGTCTGAAACTTGTTTCTGCTGGTGACCTAAGGAGTTCACAGTCCACACTAGGCCAGAAGCAGCTCTCGGCCTCCGTGTCGGCAGCGGCCAGCCACGCGCCAGTCTAGAACCGTGGCGGTCACCGCCGCGGTGAAGGTTAGTGGCATGCATTTACAAAGTGTCTACAAAAACTGAAATAGGAATATTTGCTGTACTTCTCGCTCTTCCTTGGAGAGGTTCCCTTTGGTGAGCAACTGCCCTAGGGTTGACCCCCTCAGCCCAAGAAGTAACACAAGGTACTCGGGTATTCGTTGCCTGACCTTTCACAATCCCTTCCCGTCTTGCCCATCCTCACTGTTACTCTTTGGGCAGCGACCTGTTTGGCTCGCAGAGAAGAAGAGGGGGAACCACCTCGTTTTGAGGGTATAAAGTGTGACGGCACAGCTCTGACATCTCAAGCGCTCTAAGGAAGAAGAGTTTCTTCATGGTTATACTAATGTGAAGGCCTCCGTATGCATTCACATACTGTTTCGATGGCCCAGATAGGGAATTCCTTAACTTTCTCTCTCAGTCTCACCACCCCCCACACCCCGCCCGCCTCCCCCCCACAACAACTTGGTAGATGAGTTTGTTTTGCCTCATCTAGTATAATCTAAGAATTCACCCTGGTTTTTTCCATTGTTTCTAGCATGAGCTGAGACACTGTATTTCCAATGAAGTGCCCAGAAGCATTTTTCAGCTAGAGACTAACCTGAGGGCCACGGACTCTGGCTCCACCTACACTATGGCACAAATCAAGTCTGTGGCAGCTTCCTCGCCTCCCATCAAAAGCAACAAAGCTTGGAGCAGGAAGCTCCCCGAAAGCAGAAAATCCAGAAGCTTGAGGAAAAGTGGCACCAGCTCCTGACCTGTAGTAATCGAGTGTGGCCACAGAGGACACCACATGAAAGGTGGACTGGGAATGGCGTGGTGGCCTCCTTCTTCAACCGGGGCAAATCACACAGGCCCCTGAGCCTCGTTTCGCTCCCGTTCCTAGAAAAAGTGTATTTGAAAAAAACTCCCTCCTTGCTGTCATGATACTCCTCACTCCCTTAAGATATACTGAGAGAGGAAACCCCTACTATCCCCTAGTAAGAACTAAAATTAAGGGGACCCTAGAACTAAGTCAGGTGGCCATCATGATGATGGGAAGTTCGGCAGAAGAGAACTGGGTGGAGCAGGGAAGGATCTCAGGCAGTCAAACCCTAGCACAAATAATTTAGTGTTCTTCATCCGATGAAAGGCCTTCAATTTCATCTCTGTCTCCCCCAATTGCCATCCAGAAGGCCTTGGCCACCTGTGGAGAGAAGCGTGCAACACATTTTAGGCAACAGCTACATTTCAGCTTGTTTCATGTGTCAGTCAATATGCTCAACTGATCAAGACCTAAAATGCTATCCTTGCCCTCCAGCCTTCCAGCAACATATATCAAAACCCTGGAATACCCTGACCCAGGACTTCGACTTCTAGAAATGCATACTGAGTCTAAAATCAGAGTTACGTACAAAGGTGATGGATGTGTAAGGTTATGCACAGCTTCACTATTTATAGAAGCAAAAAATGCACATGGCCTACACGTCCAAAAGGGAAATGGATAAATTAGGACACATTCATACAATGAAATACCATAAACCACATACATTTCCTGCCAAGAGCATGTGTTGCATTGGTAATAAAACAAAACAAAACAAAACAAAACAAAACAAAACAAAACAAAACAACTGGGAGTTTTCCAGCCCAACAGTTAAGAAGGCAAACATCCTGAGTCTCAATGAAAGTTCCATGTCACTCAACATACATTTGAAAAATCTTGGTTTGACTACAGCAATTATATTACTACAGTGTAAACATTCAATTCGTTCCAAGTTAATATCCAAAGAAAAGTTCACACTAAGGCACTTACAGAAATCAACAAGTGTGACATATAATAACAGTAACAGACCTTCTGTAGACACTCAATAAATACCTGACTGATTGTCTCACCTTTTCTGCATGCAACTTTCTCTGCTCGTGAGGAAGCGTCGCAGCCTTGTCTAGGGGGAAAATATATCTTAAGAAATTCATCTAATAGCACAGGAGAGTCTGGAGTGTATGGATGTTGTAATGCTAGAAGATGGGAGATGGGTTTCAAAGACAAATGCTTATGGTGTAGTCATTAGAGCTGTTAGGGAGTTTAAGTCTTCCCAATTTTCCAGATGGGGATGAGGTGAGTCAACTGGCAGGGGTCTTACTGATTCCAGGTTAATGAGACACACTGAAAGAAACTGAGAGAGGCAAGAGAAGAAGGGCAAGTAAGAGGAAAGAGAGTGGAGAAAGAGGAAAATTTTCCCCGGGTAACTTCTACCAACAGAAGATGGCACGGTCCCCCCGGAGCCAAGGTTCTCCAGACAGCTGACACCAGAGCATGGAATCCAATCAGCGGTGACCAAACCAAATCCTACCATGTAAAACAGAGGAGCACCAGGACGGGAATGTGTCAGACGCAATGGATCCAATTACCTTTCATTTCCTTTAACTTGGAAAACAGTCTTTCAAAATTCTCCAAATCTCCTCCACCAGTAGTAAGACTGGCTAATTCTTGAATATCCAGATCTAACATGGGATCTGAAAAAAGGATTTGTCACATTAGTTGCCACATATCACTTACATATGGGCTAAATACGCATACAAGGCAATCAATCCTAGCTTTGACGGCGTCATCACTGGACGAGTACTCCATGTGCACCGTCTTCACTGCTCACAGTGCTTCTGCCTGCCTGGCTGCTGGCGGGCCTTCGTGAATGAAAAAGAGCATATTCTAGCCTTACAGCATTACACTGAGGCAAAGAATATGGCTTCGTTTCAGGGATGAGAAAACTAGAGCTCTGAGTGGAAGGGACTGGCCGGCTCCAGGTCACAGCTAGTGTGAGCTCGGATTCTGACTTAGGTGTTTCCAACTCTAAAGGCCACACTCTCCACTGAGGTGCACTGATCAACAGTAAGCGTCTGGAATTTATGCCGTATCTTCCTGTACAACAAATATTTTCGCATCTATTACTGACAACCACCATATAAGGTGGTTAGGACAGACCTCAATGTCTGCAATTTATACGTGGAGAAAGCTGGGTTTAAAAACGAATTCATCTAAAATTACAGTTATTCAGAAGTAGAGCCAAATCCTATTACTACAAAGCCTTTATTATTTCTACCACAACCTATTACCTCTTCATCAAAATTTGTTTTTAATCAGAATTCTTCCCCATTCTCCACTCCATACCGACCACCTCTATGATGTCTTCCCTAGGCATCCCAGATCACAAGCCTCCTTCCCTAGATTTCATTCCATACTTCGTGTTTCCAGAACTGTCTTGGCACTGGCACATGCTACTTTGCATTCTGACACCTCCCCACATTACTGAAATACCACTATAGTACGAGAGAGCTCACCTTTGTGTCTACATCACCGAGTGCTTTAATTTATGTAATTCCTTTTCATTTTTGCAACAGCATTGTTAGGAAGAATTTTCTTTTACGTAAGGGGAAACTAAGGCCCATGAAGGCTAAACAACTTACTCGCGGTCATCTCACCACTAGTGGTAGAGCCATGATTGGAACCCAGTTGTCCAGGACCCCAGGCCCACGACTTTAAGCATTACATCGCAAGGCCTGTCTCTACATTTTTAGGCTGTAAGCTGCTTGAAGACAAGGACAACTTCTAATTCTTTGCATCTACTACAATGCCATACAGAGAATTTGGTGTTAAAAATGCATTTTGGTTAATAAATTCGCTTTGGACAAATTTCAATGGACATTTCACGTAGGCAGTTGACATACGGGGCTGGAGATAAAAATCTGTGATTTATCTGTGTATAAACGGTAACTGAACATAGAAGCACTTCATGCTTAAATATAGATTTGGCAGAGGAGGGTAGATGGAGTGATGAGGGATGGCAATATGTGAAGGCTGGGTAAAGGAGGGTCATCTATCAAAGAAAGAGAAGGAATAACCAGAGAGGTAAGAAGAAAACCAGGACATGTGCTAGGTGAGCCAAAGAAAATGTTTCAAAAAGGAACCGATCCACAATGTTGAATGCTGTCAAGAGGTGAAGACAAGGACTGGAAAATGTC